TTCTCAGATAGATTGGAGAGGTGTTACATCCCTAAACAAGGACAGGATACTATGAAAAGGAGTAATCAGAGAGTAAGTGTGAACTACTGGAAATTAAAGATAGGATCACAGAAATAAAAAAGTCATTAGAAGGTGTTGGAAGGTAAGAGAATTAGTTGTATATCTAAATGATAGTATATCTAGATCCTAAAAATTTCCTTAGAGGTAAAAAAAGAAAGAAAGAAAGGTTACCTAAAAATTTCCTTAGAGGTAACAAAAGAAAGAAAAAAGAAAGGGTACCTCTAAAAATATAGGCATCAGAGGCTGGGCATGGTGGCTCATGCCTTTAATCCCAGCACTTTGGGAGGCCAAGGAGGGTGTTTCACCTGAGATCAGGAGTTCGAGACCAGCCTGACCAACATGGAGAAACCCCATCTCTACTAAAAATACAAAAATTAGCTGGGCGTGGTGGCACGTGCCTGTAATCCCAACTATTTGGGAGGCTGTGGCAGGAGAATCCCTTGAACTAGGGAGTCAGAAGTTGCAGTGAGCCAAGATGATGCCACTGCACTGCAGCCTGGCAACAGAGCGAGACTCCATCTCAAAAACAAACACAAAACAAAACAAAACAAAAAACCCCAATATTTCCTTTAGGTTCAACTTCCATGTGGACTGGGGGCAGGGCTTGGGTAAGAGATGGGTGCAGGCAGTCTGTGAATTACGGGATCTTTGCATGCTGAGAAACTGGGAAGGAATGGGATTCTCGGCCAGCTATGCTCTTCTCCATGAATCTGCTAAAAGGCAAGGAACCATCTCAAATCCTCTGAGAGGAAAGCAGACAGATTGGGGTTGGGCCCTGCTTCAGTCACTCCCCTGCTCCTGTCTCCTCCCCTCCTGCCCACTTTTCTTCTGGACAGGTGCAGGCAAGGAGACTTGGAAGGTTCCCAGGAGGGAGTGGAAGTGTCAGGACAAACGTGTTACCTGGGCTCCCAGCCCCACTTTCTCCAAGATTACTAATGGGATGTGAGAAAAAGCCCTCCTCCTGCCCCTCTCCTGAGGCCAACCAGCCGTCCCGGGAGCCCCTTCTCCTCCAGCTAGACCTCTGGGGGTTGGTGAGTACCCATCCTTGGTTTGGAAGATGCAGCTCTGTCTGAAGGATGCTGCTGAGTCGAGGGCCCCCCAAGTGGAGAACAAGCACCACAGCACGTCTGGCAGAACACCCTGAAAACAGTGATGCACAGAAAGGAGACACCGTGGTGAAGAGACGCCTGTGGCCAACTCGGACTCTCGTAACCCAGCCGTCTCACAGAAGGTGGAGGAAGCAACAAGGGCTTGTGGTCATTCAGCCTGCATTTGCCAGCACTCGGCACACCCCGTGAGTCAAGGCGGGGGCCATCCCAGGTGGCAAAGAAGACAAGGTCCACACCCACCAGGAACCGAGGTCATTGGGAAACAGTTGGCTACATGGGCACAAAGGAAGGAGCCGCTGATTCTATCTGGAAGGGGGTGACATACGAGCTGCACAGTGGAGGCTAGTTCGCATTTCTGCAGGACAGAGGAGAACAACCAAGGGGCCATGTTCAGAAACCACCGATCCTGCTTTGCTGGGGGAGGTTGGGAAATGATAGGGGAGGAGGATGGAAATGCATTGAAGACACTGAGCTTGGTCCTGTGCACCATGTGGAGAAGGGCAGCATCCATTATTTTTTTGCTGATTATTAGAATTGATATGTTTATCATACAAAAATTGAGGGAGAAACAGAAATAGGATAAAGAAAATTAAAATCACTCATATGCCAACTACCTATAAATAACCACTGCTAGTTAATATTTTAATGCTTTTGTGAACCAAGAATTTTCTAGGGCAGGTGTCAATTAATTTAGAGGTTTATTTTCGCCAGGTTAAGGATGCATGCCCAGAAGACAGATCTGTGCCTGTCTCCAAAGATGATTTTGAGGGCTTCAATATTTAAAGAAGAAAGGGTGGATGTTGGTGAAAGAGGAAGAAATTTTTAAAAGGCATGGGGAGATAAGAGGCGAATGGTTGCATTCTTTTGAGTCTTTGATCAGCGCTTCACGTGTGAGAGGTGGGTAGAGGTGGGTAGAGTCACCTATGCACTCATCTAGCTCAGTGAATCTGCGTTTTTACATAAGATAAAATAAACATAGGGGCCAGCATGGTGGCTCAAGCTGTAATCCTAGCACTTTGGGAGGCCAAGCAGGTAGATCATTTGAGCTCAGGAGTTCGAGACCAGCCTGAGCAACCTGGCAAAACCTAATTTCTACAAAATATACAAAAATTAGCTGGGCATAATGGCACATGCCTGTGGTCCCAGCTACTTGGGAGGCTGAGGTAGGAGGATCACCTGAGCCCAGCAAGATGGAAGCTGCGGTGAGCTGTGATCACGCCACCACGCCCACTCTATAATCTCTTGCTTTTATAAACAGTGCTGCAATAAATAACTTGGTACATATGTCATGTTTTACATGTACAACTCTGTATGCAGGATAACTTCCTGGAAGTGAAATTGCAGGTCAAAGGGCGGGGACAGTTATAATTTTGGTGGATATTGCCAAATAGCTCTCCATAGAAGTGATGTTAATTGCTTTAAAATGTCCTTCTTTTGCTGTAAATGAGGGACATAATCAAGTCTGAATTTAGAGGCAGTAAGGCTGGATTAGGGGAGGGTCGGCAGGGACCAGCTAGGAAGCTGCTACAGTCGTACAGGATAAATCGCCTGGAACTGAACTGTGGGCCAGAACCACTGGACTAAGGCAGTAGAAGAAGCTGGAGCCCTGAATCCAAGGAACATGCCAGACTTAGAACTGACAGGACACAGACATAATTGGCATTTGGAGATGAGGAAGCAAAAGTCTCTGACACGGACGAGTGGGAAGCTGCATCTGAAGTCAGAAACTAAAGTAGCCCAACAAGCTGGGCGTGGTGGCTCACATCTGTTATCCCAGCACTTTGGGTGGCCAAGACAGGAGGATTGCTTGGGCCCAGGAGTTCAAGACCAGCCTGGGCAAAAAAGGCGATCCCTGTCTGTATAAAAAATACAAAATTTAGCCAGGTGTGGTGGTGCGGTGCCTGTGGTCCCAGCCACACAGGAGACTGAGGCTGGAAGATCACCTGAGCCAGGGAGGTGGAGGGTGTAGTAAGCAGTGGTCACGCCACTGCACCCCAGCCCAGGCAACAAAGCAGAACACTTTCTCAAACAAAACAAACAAACAAAAAAAGAGCCCAACAGAGAAGGAAGGAGGCTCTCAGATTTCAGGAACCTCTGTTTCACACAGGGAGAGATATTCATTACGACGATGAAACTCTCAATTTGTTTCATTCTCCTATGTTAGGAGAATGACCATTCTGAAAAAGATAAAACACACACATTAAAAGGGAATTGAAATTTTCCATTCATGAGCCGGGCACAGTAGCTCACACCTGCAATCCCAGCACTTTGGGAGGCCAAGGCAGGTGGATCACCTGAGGTCAGGGGGTCGAGAGCAGCCTGGCCAACATGGTGGAACACTGTCTCTACAAAAAAAATACAAAAAATTAGCCAGGTGTGTTGGTGCATGCCTGTAATCCCAGCTACTTGAGAGGCTGAGGCAGAAGAATCGCTTGAACCCAGGAGGCAGAGTTTGCAATGAGCCAATATCGCACCACTGCACTCCAGCCTGGGCAACAACTCCAAAAAAGAAAAGAAAAGAAAAGAAAAGAAAAGAAAAGAGAAGAAAAGAGAAGAGAAGAGAAGAGAAGAGAAGAGAAGAAGGAAAGAAAGAAAGGAAAGAAAGAAAGGAAAGAAAGAAAGGAAAGAAAGGAAAGAAAGAAAGAAAGAAAGAAAGAAAGAAAGAAAGAAAGAAAGAAAGAAAGAAAGAAAGAAATGAAATGAAAGAAATGAAATGAAATAAAATGAAATCTGCCAGCTGACCAGGCTGGCTCACTCTTAAATATGAAAAGACAAAGATCGTCAGACATTGAAAAATGACCTTAACATGAAACAGAGACAAGGATAAATGGCGGTGGTGGTCAGGGCAGTGCTCCATAAGAAAGAGAAATAATTTAGGAAATGGAAGACAAAAGAACATTTTAAATATTTCAGGCATTCTCAGATAGATTGGAGAGGTGTTACATCCCTAAACAAGGACAGGATACTATGAAAAGGAGTAATCAGAGAGTAAGTGTGAACTACTGGAAATTAAAGATAGGATCACAGAAATAAAAAAGTCATTAGAAGGTGTTGGAAGGTAAGAGAATTAGTTGTATATCTAAATGATAGTATATCTAGATCCTAAAAATTTCCTTAGAGGTAAAAAAAGAAAGAAAGAAAGGTTACCTAAAAATTTCCTTAGAGGTAACAAAAGAAAGAAAAAAGAAAGGGTACCTCTAAAAATATAGGCATCAGAGGCTGGGCATGGTGGCTCATGCCTTTAATCCCAGCACTTTGGGAGGCCAAGGAGGGTGTTTCACCTGAGATCAGGAGTTCGAGACCAGCCTGACCAACATGGAGAAACCCCATCTCTACTAAAAATACAAAATTAGTTGAGCATGGTGGCACATGCCTGTAGTCCCAGATACTCAGGAGGCTGAGGCAGGAGAATCACTTGAACCTGGGAGGCAGACGTTGTGGTGAATTGAGATCTCACCATTGCACTCCAGCCTGGGCAACAAAAGCAAAACTCC